ATCTCTGAAAATTCCACCTCAACCATTTTCCTGTCTAAGTTGTCTGATTCCCATTGAGGTGACAAGGAGATGGATTTCAAAACTCCCCGCGTGAAAGAACGCTTTAAACCTCATCCCTTTCTAAAATTTTAATCAGACAAAAACAATTTTCTCAGAAAATTCAAAATCGCCGTGTTTCATGTTTTAGTTGTGTTTTTATTATTACTTTTTTGTTATTGGCCTGCTGATACTGTTGATTACATCGATCTGTATTTCACTAATGATGATGATGATGATGTTGTTGTAGATTGAATTGTTGCATTGGTTCTGTCCTGTGAGAAATGCAAACACTAAATTGGTGTTGCAAGTAAATATTTTTGTTGCAAACTCTTGGGCTTGATCTCAGATGCTGCCTTGAAATCTCTCTATGTTAGGCTGTTGCTTGGTGATTTTGGGAGTAAGATTATAAACAGTCACATTAGAAGCGGTTACTGTTCTTGAGGTTGTATGTAGTATCATTACCTGGTTGAATATGAGGAGATCATTTCATGTAATTACTCACTCCAATCTACATGAAAGACAGGTTTCTTGATCTAGCACCAGGATTATTACTTTCCAACCGTGGCCATTATGGATTTGTCTTTTTAATGAACTATCACCGTCTCAAAATTATTCTCATGTTTCAATTTGAAGTGAAAATTCAAACCGGATAATAATTTCGAGCTGTAAGAATACTGTCCCGAAGTTTCTTGGATTCTAGGTTTTTTTTTTTTTTTGGTTTTTTGAAAACTAGGATTCTAGGTTGCAAGTATCAAATCTGGACATGTTACCTATTTGGATCTTGGATGTACGTGAGTTCATTTTTGCTTTAGTGTGAGAATCCATTTTTCTTTTTTCCTCTGTTATGAAAATGAGGTTAACTAGTATGGAATCTCAGAACAAATCACACCAATCTTCACTAAAGTTGACACGGCACAATAGAAAATACTTATCAATGCGTAAAACAAAAGTGGTTTTGAAGCAACAAATGATTTTATTCGCTCGAGTGAAAATGAGCAAAATGTAAAGCAACTGAACATAATCGAGTCTAAGCTCCTCCTAGTCCAATGCAATTTATTAATAACTCAATATGAGTTATAAGAAATAAACTTCGATAAACGTTACATGGTTTTACTTAAACAATTTTACAAACAATTAGCATTAAAACACTACCGATTACCTATGATAACACGATAATTACAACTAAAAACACACAACAATAAAAATATAAGTAACCCACCTCTTCCCCCTATGTTACTTTTCTCGGACCAGCGAGCTCTAGCAACCAGATTTACTTTTCTCAACCTGACACTTTTTTTTTCTTTTTACGTTGTTTTTTCGTAATTAAGAATGAGAATTAATTAATTTGTGGATTTTATATTTAATCATGACATAAGTGAGTCAATAAATTTTAATCCACATTTCATATATAAAAGTTGATTGATGAAAGTTGTTTTCTTCCAAAAGAAATATGAGTGAATTTTGAAAGTTTATTATTCAAGAGTAACAGTTAAGAGTGTATAGATTTTGTTTTTCTTAATTTAAATTATTCTTTCTGTTTCAAAAAAAAAAAAAAAACACATTGAGTTTTAAAATTTTTACTATTTTAATATAAGAGTACTGATAGGTACCAGGAAATTATACCAGGAATTTTCATCAGGAAGGAAGTGACATTCCAGCTACCCTGCCCACCTTTTTTTTTTTTTCAATTTGCTTTATAATTCTTTTTAAAGGAAAAAAAAAAAACCAAAAAACAAACTACGGCTGCCCCCTCTCTCTCATTACTCTGTAACTACGCCCAATTCCGGTTAGAATCCACCAGCGCAATTAGCATCTTCAAGAGCAAATTTCCACTCTCAATTCTCCTCTTCATCCTTTACTTCTCAATTGTTTGATCCAATTAGTCGCTCTCGTTGCAAAAAATATTTAGAAATCGGAACAATTCAAAAAAATTCTTTCACGATTTTGGAGGCTCTCATAGCGGAAGTAGATTAATTTTGAACAATTTCAGGTATGATGTTTTAGTGTGCATGTCTTGGATCAACAAGAAAGACCAATGTATTCATTGATTTTGAAATTCTATCAGATCTAATAGTTGTCTCTTTGTATGCTTATATTTTTTTGTATGATTTTGAAGGTACTCATCAAAAGGCAAATTCTCAAACCCACCGTACTCCACTGCAAGTGATTGAAAACTCTTAGCCATAGGTATTCCAGCTTGATCATTTGACACTAATTTTCTTTTTACACTAGAATCTATCACTTAACTATTACTCTTAAATGTCGTGACTTTGTAGGACTTAACCCATGGTTGTGCTCCAACGACACACTAGATATTATAAACATCCCATCATTCTGAAGAGTAACATTAATCTTAGCTTTGCATCCCGATTTAATGGTAGGTCGAGAATATAATGGATTTTTTGCCTTAGATTCCTTCTTCTTACCACCTTTGGCACATCCCAGTGTAAACTATTTTATCTTGCCATTGTCATCTCTTTTATGCCATAATTTACTAATGCCGAATCCGACATTTTGCGCATAAGAATGATAAAGACCATGAACATCTTCCGATGGAAACAACATCCCAACTTCAGGAACTTTAACTTTCTCATTTGAACTTACGGAGTCTATATGCTCATCATTTTTATCTTTTATGCCATGAGAATCAGTTTTTCGATCTTCCATGAAAACTTGTAAACTGCACTTACACAAAAATTACAACTAATATCAAGCATGTACTCTTGAATTATTAATCCAATGTAATCTAAGAATAGAAATCCAGAGCAGAAATCCTTTAATTAACTATTAGCAACCAAGTAACTAAAATCAAACTTGCGATGAAAAGTGATCTATCTTAATACCAAAATCACATCGACAAATAATAAAACTTACCAAGAGACCATCCTTTAATCTAATCAGATTTCAAACTCAATGAACAAATTGGTCTTTCTCATTAATCTAAGATGTAAACACTAAAAAGTCATACCTGAAATTGTTCAAATATTTTCTTCCGTTAAGAAAGTCTCCCAAATCGCAAAAATATTTTTCCGAATCGTTTCGATCCGCAATTTTTTTTTTCTAATGTGAATGATCGGTTGGATAAAAAAAAATGAAGAGTGAAAGATGAAGATGAGGTTTGGTTGTGAATAATGAAGATGATGTTTGGGAGTAAAGATTCATTCTGAACGACGATATTGCGCAAGTTTGGGGACGTCATAGAGAGAAAGAAAAGTGGCAGATTTTTTTTCTTTTAAAAAATTGTAAAAATAAATTGGAAAAAATTAGGTGGATAGTCCAACTGGAATGCCACGTCCTTCCTGGTTAGAATTCCTGGTATAACTTCCAGATACCAATCATTATGCTAAAAATCAAATTAAAAAGAATTATCTTAGGCCATAAAATAGTAAAAAATTGAAAGACGATATGTTGAAACAAGATAATAATAATAATAATAATAATAATAATAATAATAATAATAATAATCGATCTAGCCCGACGAATATCCTAATTTTTTACATGTATAAAGCACAATGAACTTTGACTTATATCTACCCAATTTGTAAACTAGCATGTTTGATAAAACTTAGTGCTTAGTTCTAAATGCTTAGTTGTGAATTATAAATGCTAAATTCATTAAACAGTTACAGAATGAAACATAAACTAACTTTTATTCCTTAGAATTTGTGTTACACTTTCAGCACAACTTATTTCTTTAAGAGACTTTATTTTTGTTTTAAAAAAGCAAGTATTTAAAAAGCATTCGAATTAATAATCTTAAGCAATAATTGGTGTTATCATCAAAAAAATATATATTTCTTTTGAAAAAAATTTAAAAATATATAACTTTTTGATAGTAACTGGCATTGAAAAAAATTAATGGCTATCAAAGAAGAATTAAGGGGTGTGCAGAATGGAAAATGGTTTGGAAATGATTAGAAAGATTATAATTTAAAAAATGGTTCTGTATGACTTAAAGGAAAACGTGAGAAGAGTAGAGAAACACAACCAATATAGAGTGCTTTCAACCTGCCGAAAAACAGCTTCATTTGCTGGTTCACTATGAAAGACATGCTCCTTACACAAGATTGACTAGAGAAAATGAAATTGTTGCAGAAAAACATCAAATGTGAACTATGTATGGGAAATGAAGAGAGTGTTGATCACTTGTTTTTCCGATGTCCTTATTCTCAATAATTGATCGAAGGCTTAGATTTTGTAGTTACTTGTCTAAAAACCAGTATTCACAGGCGACTCAAAATACGAGATTCAAGAAGGTAAGACAAAGGGTTCTATTTGCGGTAAGAACAACAGCAATTCACCACTTATGGTCGGACAGAAATGGAAGGAAATTCATACGAAATAGAATGGAAGTAGCAATGGAGATTATTTGGAAGGTCCAGTTACAATGTAAAAAAAAAAGTAATGATGATATTCGATTTCTAGAATAGTTTGGTGTAAAGTTTGGAAACAGTAGATAATAGATCAGAAATTAGGCTGGTACAGAAATGAATTATGCAATACAATTGCACCTTTCATAAAAAAGAAAGAAATTTAAAAAGATTGGATCCGCATATTTCTTTTTTAATTGTTTAATAATTTAAAAAGTATAAAATTTTTTTTCACTAATCTACGAGTTTTTTTTTTTGTAAAAGTAATAATTACTGCTAGTATATTTTTTTTACCGGGATTAACCCGTAATAAAGCCCTAAATTCTCCAGAAGTCAAACATCTTAAAGTCCAGGATTTTTAGTCTCCATATCCGAAAATCAATATATTCCTCTCTTCACCTTTATCGACCCGCTTCTGACCGTTGCTTGTATGAAAAACTCTCAATCACATCTCCCGGGGGAATTCGGTGGGTTCGTTAACTTCCAATGATTCCTTTGTTTCTATCAATTCAATCCTCACCTATCGCTAATTTTGGTTTTCCATTTTTTGATGCTGTTTTGCAGCAATTTTTCTGGGGTTTTTTTTGAACAATGTATCCATCTCGTGGAGGTAATTCGTATAATCAAACGGAGCAGTCTTATCCTCCTTCCCAATCTGCCTACTCCCAAAACGTATGTTTTTTTTTTTTGTTTTTGGCAATTTTTTCTTAATTGATGATTGACCATGCTTAAATTTTTCTCAATTTGATTGATCGTGATTAATTTTTGTCGGGTTTTGTCGTCTGGATTCCTATTTCACTCAGAATCTGTATATTATGTGAAATTGTCTTTTTTTTTTTTTTTTTTTTCGCGTTTCTGTTGTCGACTAGTTGATACTCCTATATTATAGCCATTGGTTTCGTTTTACTGAGTTTTAGTCCTCTGTTTTGGAGTTCATTGACTACATACTTCTTTTCCTTTTCAGCTGTTAAATAGTTTTCCTGGGGGCACTGTTGGTCGAGCTGAGAGAATCTCGCAGCTCTCTGGAGCTTCAAGACATTCATCCATCTTAGGGACCGTGCCGGATGGAGATGTTGGTGGTTTTAGAGGAGGACATCCTCATGTCTCTCCTGGCTCACATTATGGTGGCCAGTACAGTTCCTTATATGGTTCCGCTTCTCAGCAGGTGCCCCTTGGTTGTGTTGCAAATTTACTGGTGCAATTCAGTTTTCGTATGGTGTTGTGTAATTAAAAATTCCTTAGGATATGGATATGGTTATGGTTTCTTAGGATGTTTGTTGCAGTGTTGTTTCGGCTTTAAAACTAAGACCATGTGAAGTAGGAGCGTAGGACCACAAGATAATCTTGACTACCCATTCCAGCGAAAAGGCTGAAAGGGTTTAGGTTAGCTTTTTGTGCATGTGAAGTAGGACAACAAGACTATCTTGACTACCGGTTCCAGCGAAAAGGCTGAAAGGGTTTAGGTTAGCTTTTTGTCCATGTGAACTATTAAACGGGCACCAAGAAGGAAGCATAAAAGGAAACAAAATAAAAAACACTAGGTAATGATATCATTGATCATCTTTGAAAGAAATGTAAGATAATTTCTACTTATACCTCAAAACTGTGCATAGAGATATAGAGGTCTATTATGTATGCTTGATCTACAAATATGCTACCACCAGATTTAAATCGGATATCAATTTAAATTCTCTTTAAAGAATCAATACCATTTGCTGGACATTGTTGTTAAGCATCCTTCTTTTTGTTGTTTGCATCATTTTGGACCATGAAATTGAATTAGTTGATTGTATTTGCTTTTGTACCTTGGCTTGAGTTCATATTGGCATCAATAGATGAGAGAAGGTGGAAAGGCAAGAGCTTCCTTGAACCTAGTTTCATTATCATTAATACCACCTTTGCCGGAGAATGCTTTTGTCACATTGTGTTGCGAGCTTTTTGTTTCGTAAGGGTCAATCTGCAAAATTTCCTGTTCTTCACTGCATAGTCACTTCAATCTTGATGAAAAATGATGCATCTGATTGATGATTTTGGATTTCATGTGTCAAATGAAAGACCTTCTTGCACAAAAAAGCTTATGTTTGTGTCTGCACCTTGCCTGTCTGCAATCTATGTTGAAAATCAAATTTTTTTATTTCTTACACTGATGATGCAGCGATATGGATGTGACTCTTTTTTTCCTTTTCTCATTCTTGTCTGACAGAATTTCTTCTAAGGGAAATTATTTTGATATCCAGCACAGAAATATGGCAAATGCTTCTACGAATCAGGTGTCTAAGGGTTTTAGGAGCGTTGATAGTTTGTCTTGTAGAAAAGTATTTTAGTCATTTGTACTTTACTATATATAGCTTCTTTAAGGAACTGCCTTCGTAAATACTACATGGTGGTGTCTTTGAGATTTGATTCAATTTTAGTTTTGAGAGAGGTTTCACTGTTTTCAGCCCTAGAGCTTGAATTAGGTATGATTTCATTTTTTTTTTTAAACTACTTTTCCGACTATGCCATTAAAGGTTTGAGGCTTGTTGTGTTCAGTTGGAGCTCCTCTAGTTACTGAGATAAACCTTTGAACTGTTGAACTGATATAGGGACCATAAACTCTTAAATTAGCTAGAAAGTGGTGTTGAATATGGTTTCAAAGATTTAATTGATTAAGAAGAGAGAAAGCAGTTGGAAGTTTTAAAACTACTTTTATCTCAGTTGGAAGATTTAATTGAATTAGGTATGATTTCTTTTTTTTTTAAAACTACTTTTCCGACTATGCCATTAAAAGATAGAGGCTTGTTGAGTTCAGTTGGAGCTCCTCTAGTTACTGAGATAAACCTTTGAACTGTTGAACTGATATAGGGACCATAAACTCTTAAATTAGCTAGAAAGTGGCGTTGAATATGATTTCAAAGATTTAATTGATTAAGAAGAGAGAAAGCAGTTGGAAGTTTGTACTGATATAAGATTGCGCCAATGGTTTCTTTAGATGAACTGGAAGGTTATCTTGGAGATGCACTTTCGTTTGATGAATTTGATGACCTAAATATTAGTCCATATGAATTTTATTGTTGCTAGTTAATTTGAAAATATTTGGTTTGAGCATGTCACCAACCAGGGCAGTAGATACTTTGACCCCATTGAATGCTGGTCCTTGTTTCTTTGTGAATGTCTTCTTATTTTTTAGTAGTGTTTTCCTGAGCCTTTTAGGTCTTCTTGTTTGTGATAATATGTTTCGATATCTGCTCCCTGCAAAATAGGTTCCCTTTTAACATCATAAGTGTTTTACTTTCCTTTTCTACAAATTTAGATCAGTGTGTTCACATGTCCTGGGTTAATTTCCGGCCTCCTTTTTATAAATCATCAGTTGTCACTGTCTTTATGGTTATTATTTCATGGAGGATAGATCCTACATGTTCGAAACTTTTCTGATATTTAATATCTATCATCTGAGAAAAGGGTTTGGGTGATTAAGTAAAAATTTTATGACAAGAAAATAGGAGAAAATCGAGTTTACCTCTGAAAGCTTCGCGAGTTCTTAATTTTTACTCTTTTTTTTTTTAAAAAAAAAGATGGATTCCTTTTCTTATCAAAGATACAAGCAAAAATACCTGTAAAGCTTAATAAACATTAATTGGCTCCTGGTAGATCTGTTTGGTAGGCTCTCAAAATGTTAGCTTTCATGATTCACGAGAGTCCTAGTGGTGAAAAAGCTTAGTATCAATCCTGGTTCTTTTTGTTCCAGAAAGTATTTTTAATTCAAGGCCTCACAAACTGTGTAACTTTTGTCCAGTCAGTTAGGGAAAAGTTAAAATACAAAATCAAGGGAGACAAATAGAGATAAGGAGATTTAAGGAAGAAACTAAAAGCAGAAGAATACCAATACAGTGTAATTCTTATTGACTGGACAAAAGAACACATGTTGCGGGGAGGGTTGAGTGGGGTTCTGACAGAGGAGGAGGTGGGATTGTTATTACCACAAGGTCGAGGGTTCGATTCTCCCTGGGGCGATCCAATTGAAAATATAAAAAATAAAAGTAATCGTGTTGGTATTTTTAGCTGTCACTTCACCGTTAACGACAGTGTTAGCTTACACCACATCAACAAAAGCTAAGTGACAACCAACTTGAAGTGGGTACACAAAAGAGAAGCAACCATTAGTGGATATTGTATCCTGATATTTCCTGCATTTCAATGAACTTGTTAATTTTCCAAGGGTATGCATATGACAGGATATTGTAGAGGATGCTTTCTCTATGTTGTTACTATCATTTAATGTATTTTTCTATTATATCCTTTTCAACAGTCCGAGACTTTTAAATTTCTTTTGTTTAACACAAACTGAACCCCCCCACCACCCAAACCAAAAAAAAAATAAAAAAAATAGTAATAACAATAATCTTATTCCATGTTACATTAATTTGTCAACCTTTGGGACATCTACGCTGAATTGGCTCTATAATGAATACAACTTGAGCCAGTTTGAAGTTTGTGAATTGTTACCATCGTTTACTTTTGTTTCTGATTTTAAGTTGTTACATGTGAATGAGATTTTCTGTGTAAGCTATTTATTTAATAAGAAGACAATAATGAGAAATTAAGATCGACGAGTGATGTCTATTGATGTCAAAAAGGATACACAAGTTAAAAGAGATGTTATGCAGCATGTGTTTAAAAAGAGGGATTAAGAGCGTATGGAGAATTATGAAGTACATTTGTAAAATGTAATGACTATTAACATGATAGCACTAAGAGAGTTCGGTCAATTCCATTATGGGTGTGACTTTGGGCTCGTACCTTTTGTGATTTTTTTTTTGAGTGCCAAGCATTGGCAGAATACCATCTAATAATGATTAAATGGTTAGTGAAGTTTTTGATGTCACTGTAAATAAAGTTAACGATTGAATGCATTGTCACTTTGGTGTTCATAAATAAAAACAGTCTATGGAAAATGGTTAGGCTCTTAAAAGGTTATTAAATGTTTAGGATTCATTATTCTGGAAACTAAGGGATGGATATAGACATCACATGAGCAAGTTGTATCTAATTGAAAAATGCTTCTTCTTTCTCTTGTGACTGCTAAGTATCGCTAAAACTTTGCGGACACTTAAATAGCAGTAATAAACACATTGCTAAGCAAGGGCAAACCGGTGGATGAGATACTCAAAGCAACCCCCTTAAGGTTGATTGGAGAGCTTAGGCTTCACAAGTGTAGAAAATATAGTCTCACTAACATGCTTTATGGGCATAACAGAAAGATTCAGATTAACGGCAAACATAGAATCAGAAATTGAAGTTTTAAGGAATGAGAATCACTAAAAATGAATTGGAAGGGGAGGACTAGAAATGACATGATTTATTTGAATGTTTAGGTTATTCAAAAAAGTTTATGTTGACAAAACATGATGTTGACATTTGATTCATATGGTGACCTTTTTTTTTTTCTTTTTGGTATAATTTCCGCTAATGGTTTATTGATTACGTTTACTAGTCCCTTTGTTGGTGTAATATTGGGTTTCGAAAACTCATAAAATATTACTGATGACAATGAAAATTTCTTCAACTCATCGAATGCTTTCCTTTGCAGGTCCATCAAATGAGTGGAACTGTACCCATATCTTCTTCCGTGGAAGGTCGTGGTGGTTTTACTTCCTCTAAGCCTGATTCGCCAAAATTCACTTCTACTGACTATACTTCAATGTCCAGTGGTGGATATGGTCGCAGAGTTGAGCAGTTGTATCATGATAGAGTTTCCGATTTTGCACCTGTGGACAGGCACAATGTGGGAATCGATTTGCCTAGTGATCCTGCTGTTAGATATGCTGAATCAATTGCTTTTGGTCATAAGCATCAGGTAGTGAGTAAAGAATCATGTTACTTCATTTGTGATTTCAATTCTTTTATTTGAAATAGCATGCACAGGCACACGAGACACAAACAAGCACGTACGCGCTTGTATATAAGAGATATGTACATTTCTTTATCAATTTTTGTTTGAATATAATTTATTGGTATGGGTGTGTATGCACGAGCAAACAAAAGTATACATATTATATTTCTTGTTTACCTGGGTTGAGCTGAAATAACTTAATGGAAAGGAGAAGATGTTTGGGGAGGGGGTGGAGATAGATATCACTTTTCATAGTGGGCCAATGTTCCTTAGCCGCTCAGCTAATAGTCTGCTAAAAAAATATTATACGATTTGCCAAAAGTTCTTCAAGTTGGGCATTGTACTTGCACGCTGAATTTGGTATTGACTTTTATCTTAAAATGCTGTTCTTCTCTTCATGAAGAGCTGGTTTACGTTTTTTGTGGTGCAGAATCAAACTGGTTTTACGTTTGTTGTGGTGCAGAATCAAACTATTTAACGCGACTCTTCTGTTTGCTAAGAAAATCATTATGTTGTTACTTTCTTTTTACAGCCTCAGATGCATGATCGCATGGATCAATCATCATTGTTACGACAAGGACAGCTGCTGAAGGCTCAGTCACTGCTATCTTCTTCCCTTGATGGGAATGTTAGGTATGTTATTCCTGAAAACAAGATTCAAGAATGATAACACTATGGCAACACTGGAATTAAGTTCTTTCTTAAAATTTGATTTGCTTTATAAGTAGGAATATTCAGGAAAAATTTTGAATGTATTCACAAAGTGTATGCGCTTCATATCCATGTACTACTTTAGATGAAACAAATATCCTATTGCTTTGAGTGGATCATAATTTCTGGCAGACAAGTTGATTATCTTGCGGCAAGGAGCAATGCTTTTCCTCGTTCATCCCAGGACCGCCATCCTTCCCAAGATGCTACCATTTATGCTGGAAGAATTGTCCCTGATCCTCGCAGTTTATCAAACTTAAGTAGTTCATCTTATGGGGGACAACAGACTGCATCAATCTTGGGAGCAGCACCACAGAGAAATGTTAACGATTTTTTGCACATTCAAGGTTCTTCAAATCCTGGTTATGGAGTTAGCCTTCCACCTGGAAGGGATTATGGAACTGGGAAGGGTCTTCGTAGTTCGTCATTGGATGCAGATCATACAAGTTCTACTTTAGTTCTTGGAATGCGTCCAATGGTTGATGAATATACTAGTGAAAGGACTGCATTTACGCAGGATTTTGAGCGGAGGGCAAAGGAACATGGTAGGGTTTATTTGCTTGAGCCGGAAAAAGAACGGGAAAAATTATGGGAACGTGAACGTCAACGAGAGCGAGAGCGAGAACGAGATCGGGAGCGGGAACGAGAACGAGAACGAGAACGGGAACGGGAACGGGATCGTCAGCGGGAGCTGGAACGTGAACGCGAACGTGAACGTGAACGTGAACGTGAAAGAGAGCATGAAAGACGACGCATGCTCGAGAGGAGAGAGAGAGAAAAAGAACAGAAACGCAAACATGAAGTTGGACTTAAGCGTGATCGAACGCCTGCTAGACTCTCCAAAGAGCGTCGAGGTACCATGCCAACAAAGGCTGGTAGACCTTTGCAACGAGAATCCCCACGTGCTGAAGCTCGGCATAGGTTGATTATGTTTAAATTTATATCCTGCTCTAGCTCTGCAATTTTAACTGCTGGTCTAAACCATTTAATAATGTAATTAACTTGGTCTTCTATCATGCTGAAGGCTTCATTCACCTGAAGAAAAAAGGAGAGATTATATCTGCAAGGTAAAAGCCTATACAAGAGCTTCGCTGAACAATGATTTGAGGACTCCAATGTGTTTAGAATAACCTTTTCCTGCTTCAACGTTTGTTGAGATCACCAATGCACGGCTTTCTTCTAATTTGCAGCCGACTTGAGTCAATACCCACCCGCTGCCTGTTTGTTCCTTTTTTTCGACTAATTTGACACCTTTCTTCATCTATTCTGGCTCGCGGGGTTCTCTCTCTCTCTCTCCCCTTGGTGATTCAATTAAATACCTTCTCGTCCACTCTCTTTTGGAAGTATTTGGCGCATTTTTCAGCCTTTCTAATTAGTTCTTCAGACAATCTGTTGGTTGGCATTCCTATTCTTAGTCCCTTTTGGCAATATGCCATAAACCAAGGCTTTGCCCTTCTTTTATCTCAGATTTGTTGTTAGGACTTGTCTGGCTGCTGTGACTTAAAATAGTAGCTTTTGGACACTTTTGTGTTTCTAAAGGAATTGATCTCTCTATTAGGGAAATTTGATTATTCTTCTGTATTTAATTGATAATCACATTTCCAATAATCCTCATTCAATTGTTGCACTTAACATCAATTTTCACCTTAATGATATGTTTATTTTCTTTGTAGGTCTGTCCCTCTAGCTTGGTTGAAGTAGAGAGGGACTACTTATCACTGTATAAGCGATATCCGAGGCTTTTTGTGTCACCAGCATGTTCAAAGGTTTAATTTCGAACCTCAAATGGCTGAATTCTATCTTCCTATTCTGTGTTAAGGTGAGCAATTTTACTGGATGTAGGTAGTCGTCAACTGGCCAAAGGGCGATATAAAGGTTTCTTTGTATACTCCTGTCAGGTACCTTGCTCAATTCACCTGTACATTACTTATGTGGGTCCAAAGCTTGATTCTTTTTCGTTCTATATCAATCACATATGTAACTTGCTTTGGGTGTTATATGCTAGAAAGGAGTATGCTTCTTGTCCGAGAGTGTGATTTTTTTGTGGCACAAATTTCTGTGTTAACTTGCTTAAACAGAAATCTTCAATCCAGCTTACAGACTTTTACTGTAAAACATACATTGTTAGACCTCTAATCAGACATCAAACTGTTACTTTGAACAGTTTTGAGCACGAGTTTCTTGAGGATGATGCTTTGTCTGTACAGAAGGAATTGCCTCCAAACTTGCCAGCCGGTGGAACTCCCAAATCAGACTGTGGAAACACGGTCTGGAATTCTAAGGTCATCAATTTTCTGCAAAACTTGATTGTTGTATATATGAAACTTTCTCGATAGTAAAAGGCTTTGTTTCTCGTTTATACAATTTTCATTTACGGATTGAGCAGAGTTTTCTTGATTCTTATCTGTGTGGGGCTCTGTTTTGGTTTTGGTTTTGGTTTAGCCTTGGAAATGTATAACGTTGTATATGAAATGTAAAATATTTTTGTCACCGAAGAATTGGAAGTTGAGGTTAAACTCTAAACATAGTCCATAGAAAGCTCTTCAGTGATCTCTGTTGAAAGGACCTTGGAACCTTTTTTTTTTTTTTTTCTGAAGCAGAATAAAGGGGATTTGCCTTATTCTCTTCGCGAGAACTTCTGGAGATCACAGTTGCCCCTGAGTCCTCCCTACAGAGTCTTTCCCTGCTGTTTGATGTCCAGCTTAGAAGAATCCCCTTATACTGGAACTAAAATTATGAAGCTACAGAATCTAGTAGTTGATAAGCCGCAGTATTAAGTTGAAGGGTGAATTCTGCTGTTTCTTGTTCAACAGTCTTGATGCCTTGTGACAATCCCTGAAACCTCTCAAATTTAATAATAATAGTATGTGTGCAGAGACTGATTTGTATCTTTATTTTCATGCCTTTTCAAATATGTATTTCCTGGTCTCCTTGCTCATTGCTTCACTCCCTGTCATCACTGGAGAGCTACTCCTTTCAACAATATCTTAATTAACACTTAACAGCCTTGTGTACTCTTCAGCCGTGATTCTTATTCAAAATATATATTTTTCTACCCATTAGCTTAGCGTGGACTGCCATCTCACCTCTGTCACCTCCTCCACATCCCTCCCATAACTTGTACTTATGCAGACGTATTTCCTGTAACAAGTTTAATTAGTTTACTTTGCTCAATGAAATTTCTGGTTTTTGTAAATCTGCATCGAAGTCTGTATCCCTGTTTCCTTACAACAAAAATTAAGTCTAAAACCCACATTGAGCGATCGGCTGTCTCAACTACATGTCACCATCAGTATCTCAGCTTTTTTACAGGGGGCTGAATCTGTAAAATCACCTATTTGGATGCTTGGTACCTGTCACATTCTCCTTTTAATCATGTATCGGAAAAAGCGATGATCCAAAAATACGAAATTTATTAAATTGCTTCATTTGAACTTCTTTGGTGAAATTGTCACAATGTTTTTTTTTCAGTTTCTAGTGAACCTAGGCCAAGGGAGTGGAGTCTGTATACATCTTTTGATGGCAAATAGTGAAGGGGTTTCCTACTCCCTGATAATTCCATGCCACAGTGCTTATTGTTTATGGGAGGAATTTAGGGCAGGCCTCATCACCTCTGATCTTTGTGCTCCTTGTGGATGCTTTACCATGTTTTTCCCTCACGGGCACTGCCTATCTTGTGACCAAGATTTTATTCATCTAGTCTTGTGTCATTTTCTTTTTACCAAAGTTTGTGGTGGACTGAGAGCTATTCTGACTGGAGAATATAGTTTCTTCTTCTTACTGATCTCTATCTCGTCTCCTTTGAACATCACCATGGCTGGAATAAGTTTTCAAGTTCTTACTACCAGTGTTCTTCCATTCTCCTGTTCATGTTATCTTATGATCTAGCTCATCCTGCTGTTTTTGTCCAAGAGCATTTTGCATATTGGATCACCTTTCAATGTAACTTCTTCATTTCCATTTTTATGTGCCTTCTCCTGAAAAAATGATGGATGGTCATAGGTAGAACTTCCATACTTGCTACCTTTGGCTGGTGGTTGTCTTTTTGTATTGAGTTCCTATTGAATACAAAGAAAGAGGGCAACAGAACGTCTTAAGAAAAGTTGATCAGTAACAGCTAATAATGTGGTCTTTATGTGTTAGAAAGCTACTCAAATTTCGGGGTGGGAAGGTTGGGTGGGGTGGTTAGGGGATTAGGATGGGGGTTGGTTACTACCAGAAGGTCGAGGGTTCGATTCTCTCTAGAGCCATCCAATTTTTTTTTTTTTATTTTAAATTTTTAAATAAAAAAAAGCTACTCAAATTTCGGAAAAATTCTTATACATCGACTTTATACAATAATCTATGATTTCTAATGTATGGAAAAAGCCTTTGATCCAGAGGCTAAAGTCCATGTATTTTTCACAGCCAGTCTTGCTTGAGCTTGATAAGTTCATCCATGACCTTGCGTTCCTCTCTGTATTAACTGGGGATGTGATTCAATGGATAAAATGAAACTTGTGCACATTTACCTTTGATGACCTAAAACTTCAGCCTGTGTGGTCATCATATCACCCAAAAAAATTTCACCTGCGATGATAGTCTCCCAAAATAATTTTGCACCGCCATTCCTGCTCCTAAACTGCCCCGATTTCTCATAGATGATATGTCAATGTGGGGACTAGCATCCCCGAATATGGTTCCTAAAGAAAGTTTCTCTTGGTTATGAGTGTTGGTAGTAAAACCATTTTGAACTAGTGTTGCCTTGTTAGAGACCTGAAATTGGCTGCCATTGCTCTTCGTAAAACCCACTTCTTCATAATAAGACCCTAACATTGGCTGATGTTTTTGAGCAATTTGAACTTGAGTTCTGTCATGCATTCAGTAAAGGACCAAGTTTTTAATGCTTTTTTACTGAAATCACCCGTCAATTTTCTTAACTTCTATGTTCTGAGATGATATTACTATAACTTTTAAAGAGTGAGCAGCATTTGAGAGTGTTTAATGAAGGAAGCCTTTTTGTATCTTGATTATGTTATGTGTTAATTTATTTTTGTATCTTGGTTCAGATGATTTTGATGAGTGGTCTTAGCCAAAATGCTTTAGAGGATTTATTATCTGGAGCAAGCAAGGTAGATCGGATACCGCATTTTTGTAATATGCTTAGGTTTGCTGTTTTAAAGAAGAATAGCACGTTAATGGCAATTGGTGGCCGCTGGAATTCTACTGATGGAGAGAATCCATTTCCCGACGACTCTTCTTTGGTTCAGACAGTTATCAGGTTCGTGAGTTTTAATAAAGTTTATAAGATTTGCTTGTGTTATTTAGACTAAAGTGATATTGATCATAGGTATGCCAAGGATCTAGCGAATCTTGATTTGGAGAAGTGCAGGAAATGGAATCGTTTCCTCGAGGTAAATGCGTTTCTTTTCTTGGTCTGTTATTTTTTCTCCTTCCTGTAATGTAATGCTGCTGATTGGTTTAACGAGGTTGGTCGTTCAACTTGTTTCTGATACATCTAGAAGATATTTATGTTCCTAAGCTATGAGCAGTCTTTCTTTTAATTGTGTTGTGTCTTATTATTGCTAAAATTGAGAGCAACAAAACACCATCAATGAATACTCCATGTTGCCTGTGACTCTTTCTATCCATTTTTTTTGTGTTTATACATTCTTACTTATTCTCATTCTTTATCTTTGGTTAATACTTCCATCATTTGTCCTTTCAAGGCCATTTTAGGGTTGTTTTTCCCGTGTGTTTGCATTTCTTTCTTTGTTTCTTAGTTACCCGCATTTCAAGGGCATTATAGGGTTGTTTTTCCTGTGAGTTTGAATTTCTTTGTTTTTTTCATAGTTACCCGCATTCTACCCTTCGTATGGTGTTTTAATTCATGAAATTCATTGAAACATTGTGGTGATAAGACCAGGTTGTTTGAAAATTTTCTGATTCTAGAAACTGGTAGACTTTTTTGTTAAATGTTTTCGTGTGATTGATTTATTATCATCTGTGGTTATTTTGTTTGAAATATCCTTATTTTTTCACTTCTTACATATCCATTGGTGTTCGAATGAATAATCTTCAACTACGTCATGTTTCCTGAAGGCATCTGTTTAAAGCAAAGTTTGTTCATCCAGCTGATGTCTTTTTCCTTGTTAGGATAATTATGAGCAATTATGTTTAAGGATTTGAATTACTTGGCTCGTTCTTGTGTAACTTTACCTGTTCCCTGTATTCTTTTGACTTCTAGCGCTTCTTGGAGTTTTTCTTTTTGGGGCTACAAGCTTTTTGAACTTGTTCGGCTTTTTAGGTACACTATGATAGAGTTGGAAATGATGGGCTGTTTAGTCATAAGGAGGTAACTGTTCTTTACGTTCCTGATCTCTCCGATTGCCTTCCTTCTCTGGAATCTTGGCGAGAACAGTGGCTTGCTCACAAAAAGGCTACCAACGAGAGAGATCGGCTTCACAATCTAAGAAACCAGGTCAGGGTTTGTTTGGTTTCTTTTTCCTTGTTGGTATTACTTATTTTGTTATATATCCTTCTTTACCGTGGAGAAAGAATTCTGCTTGGCTGCCAATTTCCAGTTGGATTTTTTTTCGTTGTTTCTGTTTTTGCCAATGTGATGCCCACGTTAATTCTGCCTCCAGCAGGTGCAAGATTCGATTACAATGAAAATTAAGTCAACTGCACATTTTTTTCTTGTATGATATATGGAGAGAAAGCAAGTGCATGGGCAGCTCAACTGTGATGAACTGCCCTAAAAACCGTTCTCTCTACTTGTAACTGAGGAATTTGAATAAAGGATGTTGCTGTGTAAAAGCCTTGTAGGAAGTAGAATCCTGGTCATGCATGAACACATTTATGTAAATGATAATCTGTATCTTCCTGCTACCAAATATTTAATTTCATTTAGCTGGTCATTTGTTTCAAACTTTGGGGTTTGGTGCGAGAAGGAAGCCTGCCACTTTGACAAGAGCGTAGAGGCAATAGATGTGAGAACCTTTTTAGATTTTGAAAATAGGAGGTGTTGAAAATCAGTAAGGGCCTATTTGGTTGTCATGGGAAGTGACCAAAGAAAGTAATCTTTTTCTTTTTTTCTTTTTTTTTTTAAATATCTATGTTTGGTTCAATTTTAAGAGATTTTTTTATTTCTTATTTTTTTGAGGAAAATAGGTACTTATATATCCTAAAATCAAGGAAAATAATACAACCTTCCAGGATTCTTATTTACCCCCCTCAAGACTGGTATTCTTTTTCCTTGTCCATGGATTTGATAGTCATTAAATTAACCTTATCCTATTTAATTCCTTCTATATTCATATTATTTTTCCCCCTATAAAAATTTTTCATTTTTTTTAACTGATCATCTTTTTCTTCATCATTCGTCTTCTTCAAGACTTTTCCCCCCTCCTTTTTCTTTCTCGGCTGCATTAAAAATTAATTTTTCCGTATAGAAGATGTACTTGTTTCTATTATAATCTCTCATATTTTACTATAATCCCCAATTTTGAACGATTGAATTAAAAGGGATCAATGGAAGACAAAATTGTAAGATAGTCCAAGAGAATGTTTTTGTTGCCTACTTAAATATGCGACGGTAGTTTGTTTTGGATTGAATTTCAGGTTTCATCTTTAACAAGTTTTTAATTGTTGCAAGTTTGTGGAGAAATTTGGAATTTGAATTAGTATATATCAATGGTACATTTAAAATCACGTTAATTAGAATTCATTTCTAATGTATTAAGATATTAATGAAAATTAAAAAAATCATATCCACAACAACATTCGTAATTGTACGCAAACAAAAGAAATTAATATATTTTACTTTACTTTCCTGAGATTTAAGATTGAAGAAATGTTAACTTTTACTTTCCGAACAACCATATAGGCCTTAAGAGTTGTCTGAAGTGCTTTTCGCAGTGTCGGTCTTCGCTGTGAACCCAAAAATTTATGATGTGATAGTTGAGAGCAAATTTTGAACATTATTACCAAGTTAGTTGCTTACATGTTGGATGGACTTGGCATTTCAGGGCCAAGTACCTGAGGCAACACAATAGGATATGGGAATGTTATGAAATATGTGTGGAACATGGTTCAAGAGAAAACAGATACACTAAAAGCTAGGACTTCCTACATAGAAGCTGATCCACCCAAAGATCAGATTAGAGTCCTACAGGGTTTAGAAGATTATAGGAGTCTTGTGGCTTATCTAATATTAGTCAAGGGTTTCCTCATTTTGCATAGCTGTGTTATTTATTTATTTATTTTTTTGGGGAATAACTAGATGAGGCTTTGACGACTCTTACCTATCCAATATCAACTGCTACATTCAGTTATTTCTTAATGATGAGCAATAGTATCTTTGCATTATTGTCTTTGTCCACCAAGGGTACATTCGCTTTGTTTGAGGTCTGTTTTATTTGTATATTTCGCGCATAATACTTATATTCCAATGCTTCTGATTTTCCTTTAGCAGAGATTGGGAGAAAAGAAGGCAGGAACCAAAGGTATTACATCTAAAATTACCCGGTAACCTACTTTACACGTAGTCTAAAGTAGCTTCCTTCATACTTTTGCTTTTCCTTGCTGTTTCAGAATCTGGTTTAGCAGGCATCAAGCATGTGAAAGATTCTGTTGATGACTTGGATAAGAAAACAAAAGAGATGCCACCTACTGGTAGCTCAGCAGATGCACTTCAAAAAGAGGTACATAAAATTAAAACAGAAGATAATCTGATAGTGGCTGATGTGGAAAATGTAAGTTATAGAGGCACTACAGGTGCTGAAGTAGGTTGCAATGATGTAAAGAAAGACGAGCAACAAGAGATTAGTCAGACCAGACCAGTGCCTGGAAAGAAGAAGATTGTGAGGAAGATTGTCAGGCAGAAAGTTGTTAAAAAAAAATTGGGAGTGGAAAATGAAAATAAGCAAGAGGATGATTTGTCAGAGAAAAAGAAAGGTGAAGAAAAAATGGTTGATCCTGAGGTTGCCTCTCAACAGGAGTCTTCGTCTGTTACTACTGCCTCAGCTATTAAAACCTTCAAGAGGAAAAAAATTATAAAAAAGGTGGTGGTTGGTAAAGTTGCAGAAAATGAAGATGACAGCGTGAAACATGAGGAAAAAAGTTTGAATGAATCCAAGAACACGGAAGATAACATCTCTCAATTGGATGGCAGCAGTACAGTGGTGATCCAAGATGCTGCTGCAAAGAGAGCTGTGAAAAGGAAAGTACTCAAAAGGGTACCGAAACCAAAAGCACTAACTGCAGATGCCAAAATTGTTCCCGGCTCTGTAAGTAATCAAAAAGATAATAAGGATGAATGCTTTTCTCATGAGAAGAATACCATACAAGCTGACGTTCAAACTTCAGTTGAAAACATAAAACAGTCAACTGAACAAAAAGTTGAACCGGAAGCTCAGGTTGCCCAAAAGCAAGATAAAGACGAAGCGACAAGGAGCGAAGGTGACATCTTGTCTGAGCCCAAAACAGTGGCAAAGAAGGACAAGCAAAAGATTAATCATATTGATGATCATGAACAACTGAAGGAAAGGAAGGAAATCAAAGATGGGAAAGAGAAGAAAGGTCAATATGGAAAGGATAACTCGAAGGAGAATTTAAAAAAAGATTTGCAACAAAAGAAAAGGACTGAAGAACCCCCTAGACATCCAGGGTTTATTCTTCGAACAAAAGGGTGCAAGGACTCAAAAGTAGGTCTTACAAAATTCTACGATATAGACGCTTAATCTCTTATATCTTCTGATGCATTGTGTAACTTCATTCCTTGATATTTACCTGCAGCTGCAATCAATGTCACTTTCATTGGATTCGCTTTTGGATTATAATGCAAGAGACACTGAAGAATCAACTTTTGAGGTCTGTCAAATGTCTATCTCAGTATTGTTAGGGCTGTAAACATTATCTTGCATGAACTGATGATTGACTAAATAATAGTAGTGGCATCGCCTGCTGTAAAGTTTACATGAAGTTTTTTTTTTCTTTGCACCATTGTTTAATTCTTTTTCTGATTTACTTCTTTTCTCCCAGCTTTCACTATTTGCGGAGTCATTATATGAGATGCTTCAGCATGAAATGGGTTCTCGTTTGTTGGCATTTTTTCAGGTTTGTATCAAAGCATTAATGCCTCTTTTATGAGTTTAATTCATGTAGTATGATGGCTTTTTCTGTTGTTATGTTTCTTTTGAAACCCCTCTTCATTTGTCCCTACATTTTTTCAGAAATTGCATGTTATGTCAGTAAATAAGAGAATCCAACCGAAGAGACAGAGAGAAGAAAGTTCTAAGAAGGAAATTGAGGAGAAACCAGTGGAAAAGCGTGCCAAGATAGATGGAGTAATCCAGGATGTTACATCAATCAAAGCGATTGATGATGAGGAATCCAGTCTGAATGACCAAAATCCAACTGGTCAGGAGAATAAGAAAAGCCTTGGACTGTCTGAAGGTGTTAAGACACGTGGAGCTGATCCCGAGGAAGATCCAGTGGAAGAGGAGCAACTTCCAGATGTGGTTCTGGACCATGACTCAGCTAATCAGGCAAGATCATGTTTTCTCTTACATTGCTCAAAGGTGTTCCTTGCTTTTACTTCCAGGTTGTGTATGACGGTGATTTGTGTTTTCGTGTGTATCTGATGAGACTAGATGAGGCATAAAAGTTATACACACATCAAGTTGTAAATAATCTAACTTCACGCAAAATGATACGTTTGCCAAATGTCAAAAGTGGAAGTAGGATAATCACTAAGTAGCTGTAACTGGAACTAGTATGGACTCATCCGCTATGACCAAAAAAAAAATTTATGTTCTGGATAATATGAAAATACTAAATTTGCATCCAACGAAAAGAGTTTAGGTCATCATGGGAATAACAAACAAGAAAATTGAGATCTTGAACTGGAGCAAACATCACTCATCGCTTGCTCATTTTCCATGCTATTCTATAGCGAGAACCAACTGTGGATCATGTTTTTTAAGGAAAGTTAAGATGGATATAAAGTCACTTGTTACTGAGCTTAAGCCTAGGAAGTAATATTCGGTCTGTTATTGATCATTGTTTGCAATAGTTACATTTAAGTCATTCTTTCCGGCGAATTCTCATATTGGGATGGTTGAAAACAGTTATATGCTTTTCAGTCAGGTGGTTATGCCTGTAAATGAAAAAGAGCTTGCATGAGATGGATGTGCTGGCAGACAAGATTAGATTTATTGACAAGCTCACGAGAAAAAGGGTTTATATTGGGCAGAAAGTGTGGCTATTAGATCTTTTAATGTTCTAGTGATCTGAGTTAAAAGAGAGAAATCCATCAATCTAAATTTAAAAGGTCAAAAAGAAAAACTAGAAAGAGTCGGAACAACATTTTTATGAAGATATGATTTTTCAAGATTTTGAATGAGAATGTGATGATTAACAGCTACTAAGGCCATATACAAATTGTAGAGCCAACCTCACCCAGTTCACTACTTTTGCCTTTGAGGCAAGCTTCTTATCCACATGTGAGATAGGGATTACAGCTGCCTATTTTTTGGATAGGTTTAGTCTCTTGAAAAAGCTATAATTTTGATTTATTATCTGTATTTTGAACCATAATTCGACATGATTGAAAGACGAGGCTCTACACTCTGTTTCCCATTAACAACATTATCTGTATCATTAATTACACAAGTTTATGTTGGACATAAATTAGTTGATGAAGAGAAATGTTGTCCATAAGAATCCACCATCCTATCTTCATCTGCGGAAACTTAATATTATTATTACTCTCTTTTAGCAAAGCTCTATTTTGGGTTTGGAATCACCCGTCCCAGTTAATGTTTTCCTTTTGGAAGGTAGAGGTGCGATAATATCACCCTCTTGATGTTCATTTGCCTGGGCAATAGTGTTAATATTCCTCATCTTATTTGTCTGCATCATGGTTGTTCCGTCATTACCTTGCCTCGCTTAAAATCACTCAGCAGCTGGCTGTATGTCTCTCCCTTTTTTTGCTCTCTCGCCTTTAATCCTTTCGAGTAGATCACACTTTTGTATAGCACAAATAGTGAATCATTGCTGGTGTTTTGTGCTTGGAGATGCTTGCCTGTACTTTCTGTTTGTTAAACTAGCCACTGCTATCCCCTGCAGCAAAATGATCAAGTTGGCAAGCTGGGTGATGATGAAACTAGAGAAAATGGCGTGAATGAAAAGGAAACTTCTGCAGGATTCATAGATGTGAAACCTGATGTTCAAGAAGGCAGTGCAGATAAAGTCAACAAGGTGGAGATGAAGAGTCAAGAAAAGAAGGGAGTTGACAAGGAGCTGTTGCAGGTATATGTCACTGATCTGTTTTGTGATTTGGCTGGGATGAGCTTTCTGGTGATTTTACGTTGTTTGACCCTGGCTTTTTATTTGTATGCAGGCGTTCAGATTTTTTGATCGAAATCGTGTTGGATACATTAGGGTAACATCTGTCATATATTTTCTTTTTGTACAGTAACTACTCTGACCTTAAGAATAATATAACTAACAGCTTTTATTGTGTGCACATTTCTGTTGCAGGTAGAAGATATGAGGTCGATTCTTCATAGCTTGGGGAAATATCTCTCTCATAGAGAAGTTAAGGTGCACATTTTTCATTTTTTCTATATTTGGTTTTCCCTGTTTCTCCAAGTTAAAACAAGATTTATGCTTACATTTTGCCATTTCTTTCTTCGTCCCAGGAGCTTGTTCTAAGTGCCCACTTGGCGAGCAAGTCCGGGAGGGATGATCGGATACTTTATGAAAAGCTGGCCAACCTCTCTGAAGGATAAAGAATAAGAAACTGTACACGAAGTGAGGGATGATCGGATACTTTATGAAAAGCTGGCCAACCTCTCTGAGGATAAAGAATAAGAAACTGTACACGAAGTCTCTTCTTCTGCCGGAATTCCAAGTGCCTGCTTCTAATTTTGTCATTTTGGACCAAACCTGTCCAATAAGAAATGCACTCTTATAAAATAGAGTGAATTATTTGTTAATAAGTATGATTCACATACGGTTTAAAAGCTAGTAATGTTTTTAACTCTCAGATAAGATTGTCATATCTTACAACTTTCTTAGTTCATTGGTCCAAGGCATATGCGGAGTTACAATGTCATAATTATCATAAAAAAAGTCCTTGAAAAGAACCTCTTCTTTCGATGACTTTTTTTTTTTTTTCCGATTATTAATTTTTGGAGCGTTAATAGTTTGATGACAAGCCAACCATGAATTGGGTTGTTATTCAAAGTAAAATTTTGGCTCGTATACAAGATTTTAACTTTAGAAAATACTCCGTTTTAGAACGAAATAAACTCCACAATCTTTAGTATACGAGTATTTTCTGTGTGTACGTTGGAATCTGAACAACGTTCCATCCTTTTTTATTTATTGAGTTAAAAAAAAAAAAAGCTCCACAATGCCACCGCAATGAGGTTATTAAGTAAACTCTACAAATATATTTTTATTATTGAAAAGATATGAGCATTAAACAATAATTCTGATTAATTAATACAGGACAGGACTTGCTGTATTATCACAATATTTTTATTATTGAAAAGATATGAGCATTCAAGATGTATTATCACAATACCAAAAGAATGGAAGGACAGGACTTGCTGGACGAAATTGCCCAGAAAATTAAGGAATATACTCAAGACAAAGAACAGCTCAAAGCAAATCCAGATGAAGAAAGTCCATTCAAACACATCACAAAACGAATTCAGCAAAGAAGGAGCAATTAATAAGGAAGAGATAATATCCGCCTATATGAAAGAAGTTAAAGCCGATCTCATGAGAAATTTAAAAATCTCGACAATGATAATATTTCGAAAAATCGGATGTTTCGATGAAGAGTATAACTTCCAATGAAGAAAATTCTTTTGCATATTGGCGGAGAATCTCGATCACGAGAAAAGATGACGATCACGATGAATTCATCAAAATCATTACAAAGAGATCCAAGAGACAATCAATCACCAAAGGAAAGAAAAAGAATGAAGTGACAAAAGTAGGAATCTACTTTTGAAATAGATGTGACAAAAGAGGGAATCTACTTTTGAAAGAGGACCTCACCATCAGTCAAATCTGAAGAAAACCATGTCAAATAATGACAAAAGTTAATAATTTTTGTAGAATAGTAGTTTTAACTTTTGTAGAATAGTAGTTAGGCACTTTGTCTATAAATAGAATATAGAAGTTCTTGTGGAGGGCATCATTCTCTCCAAGCATTCTCTCTTTTCTTCTCCCTTTATCCCGAAATTCTCTCTCTCCCTTGTAAAGAATTCATTCAGTAAATATATCTTGAAGCATAGAAGAAGCCTTTAAAGGTAATCTTTTCTTTTAAGTTTGTTTTACGTTATAGTTTGAAGTACTCAGACAATGTCTGAGTAAATCCTTTGTCTGAATCAAACATTTGGCTTTTGTTTACATAAATTATACATGGAAGCTCTATCTCCTTCTTCTCTTTTAATTAAAATACGATGATTTGAGATTGGTTCCAATTCCGAGTTCAGTCGGAAAACTCAACAATAAGTGCATTGGGCTAGAAAAGTACCCGTTATGATGAATTGTTTAAGGGGAAAAAGAGGCCACATGATGCACAATAAGTTGTGGATTCCAGACAGGCTTGAGAGTTGGGTGAAACTTTTCCATGCATCTCGATCATTGATATTTTAATTAAGGATGGATAGAGATTTTGATCCTGTAGCTGGCTGACAAGGCATAGCTCCCGGATGAATGGTATCAGCCAGGGTGGTGGTTTGGATTCCGGCCTGGTTTCCTTGCTCGTCTGTTTGCCTGGTCTTACCGGCTAAGATAAGCACTGGCCAGGCCCCAGCCCCACGCCAACTTGGTATCAGAGCGGTTATGTATTTTTTATGTCTACAAAAGATTTGTTTGATTCAGAGCCTAAATTAAAAATGAATAATTTAGAAACAACTTCAATAAAAAATTCAGTTCAAGAGGAATATGATATGCCTCAACAGCTTGCTCTTCTTAATAAGTGGTCAATACCAAAGGTACCCACTAATACTTTGTATGAATATGGTATATTTGATCGATACTTGGTTAAACAGGTAGTTAAAACTACTGAACAATTAATTGCTTTAAATTCTGATGAAAGGGTTTTACAACTTTTGTCTGCTACAGATATTGAATCTTATAGATCTCATAAAAATTATAAGTTCATGCATATTGGATTAGTGCAAATTGCATTTAAACCTTTAACTTTAGAAGGATTACCTGAATCTTTTGTTGCTGCCTTACGTGATGGTAGAAATTTACATTGGAAAAAATCCCTAATGGGCATAATACAGTCCAGCCTAGCTCATGGTCCAGTTTATTTTAATGTCTACCCAAATTTACAGCTATCATTATCTGATGTTAATATACTCGATGCTTTAACCTTAAATGTGAAATTACATGGTTACAATTATTTACCGGGAAGTGAACTTATTTGTTTACATTACCGTATTTGTTTTAAATTATTAAATACCTTAACACCCAGATGTAAGATTATAAGTAAACCATCTGATGAAATCATATTAATAGAAACTAATTTTTATAAATCTCAAATTAGTACTCGTAAAACTATAAAATGGGAAGAAATTGAATTTCCAGAGTCTTGGCAAATTAATAAAGGAATTAAAATAAACTCATTAACTCATAATGTTACAAGTTGTAATGTTACAGAAATTGAACAATCTGATAATGGTCAGATAAGTATTACTTTTGATAAACCAAAAATTCCTAAATTACTAAGATCTAGCTCTCAAAGATCTTTTAAATCTTATATTGATCCAGTCGATTCTCATATATTTTCGACATCTTCAATTCCTGAAATAGATTTAACAAATAGAATAAATCAAGTAAAAATTGATCCATATAACATTGTTCGGTCTGCTGATAGTAAGACGTTTGATAAGGATATGCCTTCACCTTCTGAAATGGGTTATCATGGCGAATACTGAAAAATTAGATTTTAGCCCAGGATCTAATATTAGACAAATAATAAGACAAGAATTTCAATCTGTGAAAAGTGGAAACTTTTCAGAGAATGGTTCTTTTCTACTTATGATATTGAAAATCAAAAAATTATACAAAAAAGAATTTTATGAATATGCTTCTTTTCACAATCAAATAATATATTTTGTCCCGTGGTTTATAATCACTTATCTTGATAAATATATTTTCCTCCTCGAAAGAGAATATCATCTTGCAGATGGGAAAATTACAAAAGGAATTTACCCTCCCCAAAAAGAATTTGTTTTAACAAATGCAACTCATATAACTTTTTCTGCATTTCAAAAATTGATTGAAAGTGAAGTTTTACCTTCTACTGTTTCTTTAGTAAATAAATTTATTCAGCAAAATAATTATACAAATTTATATGTGAAAATTTTAGGAGAACAAATTAATTCTTTACATGATAAGGTTGACAAATTATTTTCTCTTATAAACAATCTTCAACAAACAGTTACACCAGTTTTGATTGAAAACAAAAATAAGGATATTAAAATACAAAATTTTATACAACCTCCACCTATAGTAAAAGATTATAATCTTGAATCTCCACATGTCTTAGAAAAATTATTGGAAGAAAAATTTAAAAACCTTAAATTATCCACTTTAGAATTTTCTGAGAATATACAGAAAGATTTTGATAAAACTCTACGAGATGAAATAAATCGTCTTTCTAATAAATCTAGACATAATAAATTTGCTAATAAACCATATATGAATCATTATTATTACCCTCGACCTTCTCCACAAGATCTTCTTTATGAAGAACATCAAGAAACTACTAATAGTTATAGTAGTCGTTCTGTTTATGAATGGAATTGTGACGCATTTACTGATAGGCAATTAACCAATATGGTGCATAGGATGTTAATGTACTCCTCAGTTGCAAAAGCAAATGGTAATACAGATCAGGCAATCGCAAAAATGATTGTTTGTGGTTTTACTGGTGTCCTTAAAGGATGGTGAGATAATTATTTAACTGAAAATGATAGACAAAAAATTTATAATACAGTAAAAATTGAGAATGAAGGAACATCTACACCCATTATGATGGAAGATGCAATATATACTTTGATAGCATCTATATTAGAACATTTTTCTGGAAAATTTACTAATAATCAAGAAAATATTCGAACATTGTTGAATAATTTTAAGTGTAAAACACTTACTTCTTTTAGATGGTATAAAGATTCATTCTTATCAAGAGTCATGGAATTACCAAAGTAATAGCTCTTATTGGAAAGCTAAATTTATAGATGGCTTACCAACTCTGTTTGCTGAACGAATAAGAAAAGTTCTTAGGAAAGATTTTCCTTACATTCCTTATGATGATTATACTTATGGTCATCTAATAGGTGTTTGCACACAAGAAGGATTAGCTTTATGTAATGAAATAAAGTTAAATCAACAAATTAAAAGACAACAATTATCAGAACGAAGACAATTAGGCCAGTTCTGTGATCAATTTGCTATGGATATTGGACCAGAAAATAGGGATAAAAGAATGAAGAAAAATAAAATTCCTTATATACCTAAAGGAAAACGACGACGTAAAAGAACAAAAGAACAAAGAGAATTTAGAAAAATTAATAGAAAAAATAAAAGAGACATAAAATGTTTTAAATGTGGTCAAAAGGGTCATATTGCCCCTAATTGTAAAAAGATTAATAGAATTAGATTATTAGAAATAGATGAACAACTTAAAGAACAAATATGCAAAGTAATAGAAGAATCGAATCGAGTCCAAACAGAAGAAACTAATAGCTCAGAAAATAATATGCTTGAAAATGATGAATATTCATCTAGTTCTTCGGATGAATGTCTTCCATGTCAAAATGATAATAATAATGATTGTTGTAAGGATAATAGTCTTTACAATATTATATCTCAATTTCAAAATTTACAATTTAACATGTTAACAACTGATAATGTTTTAGAATTACTAAAACAAATACCAGATCATGATATTCGTGATAAAATAATTAAAATGATAGATGTGTCTCATAAAAAAGAAAAGGAAGTTAATAAAAAGGATATAGTTTTAAATAATAATCCTTATTCAATGCAGGAAATAGAAAAAAGAATGAAAAAATTACTGAATAAAGAAGAATCATCTTCTTCAGTTATAACTATTGCAGACTTACAAATAGAAGTTCATAATATAAAGAATGAAATAAAATATTTGAAACAAAATAACGAATTATTAGAAAAAGGGTTAA